GCAAACATTATAGGACCTTGCAGCGCTACTTCACAGAGGAAAGGCAGCCTGGAGCAGAGACCATATCAGTGAAGGTCTAAGACCAGATGTGGAGGGTAGTGGAAGGTAGACAGTGAGATAAGGGGTGGGTGAAGGGGTCACTGTCTGACTCTACTCTGAGCCAGGTCTTATTTCCCCAACACCCAAACTGGAGAAATGTCCCCTGCTTCCCCCATTCTGCCCTGAAACTGCATGGCCACCAGGCTCCTCTGCTGTGTGGTCCTTTGTCTGCTGGGGCAGGGGATCCCCCTCCCCCGCAAAGCCCTTTCCTGGGCACACTAAGCCCTATCCTAGGACTTTACTGTGTTTCTACCCTAGCAGGATCCCTCTTTGGCACTGACTCCAGCTCTGGCTTCTCACAGTCAGAGACTGGATGCTGGAACTATCCAGACCCCAAGAGAACAAGAGCAGGACAGAGGGGGACATTGAGATGCTCGTGACTGCTGTCCATGGCCAGACATGTACAGACGTCAACAGGACCCCAAGCTGGGCTAAGCCGATAGAGTACCACTTGCACAAAGGAGAAATACCCCATGGGCCTGTGACTTTCTGTCATAGCCAAAGATGCCGTCCTCTTGTCCCTGACCTCTGTGTCCTCTCATTCCAGCCGGCACCCCAGAGTCACCTCCCCTGCATAGACAGGCCAACAGAAGACGGGCTTGGGCTTGTCCCTGGTGAGGGAGGACACTGTCCCAGGGCATCCTCTCCTGGACTTCCCAGCATGGGGACCCAGTCTCCTCTTCTGGAGCCCTTCTTCTGGAGCTTTCACAGAGCCCTTCTGTGGCTCTGCCATCACAGCTGTCACAGCTCGGGACTTCAGAGCCATTCCGCTTACCCAGGTGCTTACAGAAAGGGAAGACCATTTGAAATCCAATGTTCTTTTTGTTTTTTTTCTCCTGAAAATTTTATATATTTATCTGAGAGAGAGAGAGAGAGCAAGAGAGAGAGCATAAGCAAGGGGAAAGGCAGAGGGAGAAGCAGACTCCCTGGTGAGCAGGGAGCCCACGTAGGGCTCTACCCCAAGACCCCAGGATCATGACCTCAGCCAAAGGCAGCCGCCTGACTGAGCCCCCCAGGTGCCCCTGAAATCCAACACTCTTGACACCACAGGTCTAGATTCCTGTTCTCACTAGCCGTGGATGAGTCCGTCTGCCCCAGGGCATTTGCATCTCATCCAGAGACTTTGTCCCCACCTGTCCACTCCTGGCTGTCCTTCCGCACTCCGTTTGCTCTTATTTCTGCCTCCACCACACCAGGCTCAGCTCCTGTCATTCCCCACCGGTGTCACCTTCCTCCCCAACGGAAGGCTGTTCTTCCTGCATCAACACAGGTCTCTCATTTGCGTCCCCCTTGCTGCAGCTCTCCCGTTGGCGAGCACCCCATCAAGGGAGCACTGCTCATGGGATGACTGGGTCAGTCTCGGTACCCCAGGTGCTCAAAGCTTCCAGTACTCAGCGATCCTTGTACACGACCCCATTTACTGGAAAGCCTCTCACTCTCTAAACTGTAAACCTCAGCTGTGTGGGGAGCATGGATGTCTTTAACCCCTTGTTCTCCTCAGTGCCAATAGCAGAAGGAAGAACACCCAGGTACCTACTGAGACCATGCCAGATGTTCCATTTTTAGAGAGAGTCTGTGTATTAGTCCTTGAAGAATTTTAAGAGTCCTTCAGGGTGGAAATATCAAACGGACGCCCAGAATGGCCCAAGGACAGACTGAAACCCCAGTTTTGCCTGAATGATTCACATCAATGCTTTGAAGACTAATGCAGTTTCCTCTCCTGAGGCAGAGAAGATCAGAAATAGACTACTTATTCAGGGTCCAACCTTATAAAGACTGGAGCCAGAACATCTTCCCCGGGGACAGCAGCTCTTCCCACTCGTTTGCAAAAACCTTATTTGAGGAGGCTGTGACCTATTGACGAACCCTGGGATCACATCACAATCAGCGTTGTAATAATGTTGCTGGTCGAATTAGGAACAAGAAGACAGGTATCTCTAGCCCTGGAAACATGTACTTATTTTTGCTGAGTTTGGAAAGACAGGCACTAGAAGGCGCTCATGTCCCTTCTTTTTCAAATAAGGGACTGACGCAAGCTTGTTCTGTAATGAGGAGTCAGGCAAGACCTACATTCCCCAGCAGCGGTGGTCAGTCCCTCAGAGAGAGAAACCGTGTTTATTCATAGCACCAGTTAAAGGCATCATCAGACCCGTCCACCTCACTGCTTGCCCTGCCATACCAGTGAGAGGCCAGTCGTATGCACATATTCAAAAAAGTAAAAATTAAAAAAGGGGGGTGGCATTGCTAAGTGTTCCATGACCTGTGCCTTTCTAGACTTTGCCCATTTAGACACCACACATCCTGAAACCCCATCAAGGGTCTGAATATAAAGTTGCCATGTGGTTAAGCTATGTTTTTGTAATTTAAAAAAAAATCAACAATGTACAAAGAAGATGTTAAGCATTAATAATCCTCTCCCCTCTCCAAACACACCTCCATCAGTCCCTGTCTTAGGTGGGTAGCCAATATCAACGTTCTGTTGTGTTTCCTACCAACTCTCTTCTCTGGGGTCCTGCAAACCTTTCCACTGAAATACACCTGCAAAAAGTGGGCCGACATGTGCACATTAGTTGCCATATGCACACTTCTCCCCCTTAATCTACTTTGCATTTCATTTGTCTGGCTTGGTAGACACAGACCTAACTTGCTTCTATCTGATGCTTCATGTTGCACAAGGGAGTGACAGGTCCATGGACACTCGGTCATCTACTGTCTACCTTTTCTGACTGGTCTTAAGTGACGATGCTTCTTCAAGCTCCCACGTTCTCCAGACTCTGGCTCCTGGAGGATGAGTAGGGCTCTTCCATCACTCATAAGCTTGGAGGTCTGCGAGCTCCAGCCACATCCCCTTACGTGACAAGACTGAGAGGAAGACAGGCGTGGGCACTTACTACATCCACCACGGACTATGCAATCTGTCCATTACTCCTCATAAGACCTTGTGAAGTGGACTTAATCCTGTGTAGAGGAGGCTCAGGCTCAGAAGGGTTGATGGCCTTTTGCATGGACCCAGAGGTGATAAATGGAACCAGATTACAGATGCCAGTCTGATGGTGTCTGTGTGGGAGACGCAGCAACCACAGGGTCACAGGGAGGAAGGGGCTGTCCATCTTCAGACCACACACCAAGGCTAGGAGGGAGTGTGTGTGTCCCACAACCACTGGAGGGAAAGGCATCATGACACTGACCTTGGAGAGGTCCTAGAGGCAGCTGGTCTGGTCGGTGGCCAGGCCCCAGAGAGCTGAGCTTTGAGAAAATCATTCCTTCACAACATGCAGCCAGATAATGAGGGAAGGGAAATCTGTGAGAAGGGATTGTTAAAATGAGGGAAAGGGGAGAGTTCCCTTCAAGCGTATAAGATGTACAGGAAAACGAAGTTAATCAAAATCCAAGCTGATTCTGATCAGTTGGACTGTTAAGTGGTTAGAAAATGGGAAAATGTACATCGAAGGTGAAATTAACAGCGCCACTAACGTTTTCCTTGTGAAGGCTGGCCATGTGGTGTGAAAGCTGGAGGTAGTGCTGAAGGTCAGAGTGGAGGTTGGACGGGGCACCCTAATAAGCCCCTCTGTGCTGGAGAAGACTCCAGGGGCCAGAAGCAGGCCAGTTTCCCCACATCACAGCTCAGAGGCATCTTATCTTGTTTTGGGAGGATTTGGGTATCATTCCTTATTGGAGGGGGGCCGCTGATAAGGTTTTGAAAGCTATGTCAGGAATGCAAATGAGCAATCAAGTCACTAAGCAGACTTTTAAGGAGGCCAAGCATCAGTTTACCCAACCCCCGCCCCCCATCTTTACTGCATACCTCTCACCAGAATAAATGTGAAATGGTCTGACTCCTCGGGGGAGATGTTGGGAACACTTCTTTATTTTGCTATTTTTTTAATTTTTAAAGATTTATTTATTTGAGAGAGAGAAAGAGAAACATTTATTTTACTGTTTTTTTTTTAATTTTAAATATGTATTTATTTATTTGAGAGAGAGAGTAAGAGAGAGAGAGCACACATGACCGGGGGTGGGCGGGCAGAGGGAGAGAATCTTCAAGCTGACCCTCCCCACCCCCACGCTGAGTGAGGAGCCCAACTCGGACTCCACCCCAAGACCCTGAGATCATGACCTGAGTTGCAATCTAGAGTCAGACACTCAACTGACTGAGCCACCCAGGTGCCCTTTATTTATTTTAGAAGTGACTTAGAAACACCAGAGTCACCATGATAAGTTGTTGAGGACAAAAAGCAGTATGGAAATGAATGAATGAAGAGAAGGAATTCTGCTTTTCATCTCCAGAATTAATAGAAGATCCCAACTTAGATCAGTACCTGCCAGGAGCATCATCCCACCCCCTTGTAGGTCTGAACAGTGAATTCAAACTGCTTTCAGGACACAGGTGTGACTGCCCCTCCCCACACCTCCACGTGCCCTGTGCCCAAACCACTGATGTGACCAGGCAAACCCATGGTTGAGGTCGAAATAAGAACACTCAAGAGAAGGTGAAAGGTCAGCATTCTATCCCTCAGGTTGGAAGTGCTGTTGACACGCAAGCTGAGAAAGTCCCTAAGAGACAGAGGACACCGGCCAGGGGCCGAGTGTGGGGCAGCTGAGCGTCATGGTTCAGAGCACAGACAGCCAGGAGGTGACAGAATTCGTGATTACGTCAAGTTAATTTCCAATGACCAGTGTCCATTCATTCTAAGCTTCATGATGTTTTGTGTTTTAACACTTCTGAGTATGAGTGACAATCAGTTTTTTCTTCCTTAACAGTCCACAGCAGAATGGTGCATCTCAGAGTGGCTGGCACCTTAGATTTAATCAAGTGATAGAAGCAATTCTGAGGCTCAGTGATGTCATTGGGAGAACTGCCTTGTGCAGGCAAGTGACCTCCCTCCTTCTCTGCTCATGCTCATGAGAAAACCTCCATCTGGGGAACCGCCCAGCCCAGCCCTGACTCCACCATGGACCCCAGGCTCCTCTGCTGGGTGACCCTCTGTCTCCTGGGGGAAGGTGAGTTCTCAGAACACCAAGCGGTTTCAGCGAATGCTTGTGTGTGAGTGTGAGCGATGATTACATGCCGGGAGGACAATCCATTTCTCCTGACTGTGCCCAACTTCTATCTCCACAGGTCATGCAGGACCCGGAGTCTCCCAGTTCCCCAGGCACAGGGTCACAAAGAGGGGCCAAAATATAACTCTCAGTTGTGATCCCATTTCTGGTCATATTAGCCTTTATTGGTACCGACAGACCATGGGGAAAGGCCTGGAATTTTTGGTTTACTTCAATAACAAGGATGCATTGGACAAATCAGGGATGACCAATGATCGGTTCTCGGCCAAGAGGTCTGAGGGGACCAACTCCACTCTGCAGATCCAGCGTGCAGAGCAGGGGGACTCGGCTGTGTACCTCTGTGCCAGCAGTCCCACCACAGTGGGGCACCATCACCTCCTTGCTCTTCACAAACCTCGTGTGCTCACTTCTCCTAGCTCACAGGATCTCTGAACAAAGGAAGTGCCCTGTTCTTCCTCATCAGGGGTAATAAGAGCATTTGGGACTTCAGCTGTTCTTCTGATAGTAAAACGTCAGGAAATAACCTTCAAAATATCAGAACATCTTTTGGCTTATAATAATTTTGGCTTATATGCTTTTTGGATTCCTTTATACAGTTCAAGATTTTATAATTGGGATGGAATATCAGAATTTAGTCTCAGGTATTGTGACATATTCTCTTGTAAAACTATGAAGTTTCAGCCCATTTATAATAAACTCCGGTTACTCCGTGTCCCTTATTCAGGCCGCACTATAGGCCCAGGGATGGGCCCACCAATCTGAAACACTGCTAAGGCCATGTGTAGCTACCAGCCATAAAGATAAATAAATTAGAATCCTTGGCAACAATTGCCTCTGAGATCAATTAATCCAGAACAACTGTCAGCCACAACCATGATACACATTAACCGAGGTTTATATAAAATGGAACTCCAGTTGAGAAGGAGCTAAAAGGAAGTGATTCAAAGGAGACCTGAATGTTAGTTGTATCAGCCATTTGGGACTCTGACATTTTGAAAGTAGTTAGGCCAAATGATGCTCGCACCAGAGGTGTAGGAAGGTTCCACTTGGCGTGCACACACACACCCACACGCACACACACACACCTTTGTACTCACAGACGCACACACACATGCATACTCTGTGAGTCCCTCTTCCACTCTCTTAATGGTAGCTTTTGATACACAGAAATTCTTAATCTGAAATCCTTCCATTTTTTCCCCCTTTTTGGTTTGGATTCTGTATTCTGGTGTCTAGAAAATATTTGCCTACTTCAAAATGATCGTATTTTCTTAGATTTCCCCTCTAACTTATTTATATTTTACCCCTTTTACATACATGGGTCTGCAATCCAGGTGGAATTAATTCTTTGTATATGAAACGGGGAAGGAGTCAAGTGATGTTTTTGCAGATGGTTTTCCAACTGACCCAATGCTCTTGGATGAAGAATACTTTCCTCACCACTGTGTAATATCACTTGTCGGAAATCAGTCATTGTACATGTGTGGGTCTGTTTTCCTACATCTCTCATCTGTTACATTTTTGGGTCTTGTCGGTTCTCGCACAAATACCACACTGCCCTGTTTACTATAGCTTTATGATAGTTCTTGACATCTGGCAGTCTAATTCCCGGTAGCTTCGTTCCTTTTTATTAAGAGTTCTTTACCACGCTGGACTCTGTATTTTTCATGTATGTTTAGAAACAGCTTGTCCAATTCTCCAGGAGAATATGCCTGCTAGGAATGTCTGCTTTTTGTTTCCAAGTATTGTAACCAAATCACGGAACAAAGCAAAGAATACAGTGGAAGTAACAGAAACACCGAGCACCTGAAAATGTAAAATACATAATGTTTGGCATCTAATCAAAGATTATAGGCATGCAAAGAGACAGGGAAAACGACCCATCATGGGGAGAAAAATCAATGGACAGAAACAAATCCCAATTTGACAAATTGGCAGACAAAAGTATGAAAATAGTTGCTATAACTCTATCCTACATGTTCAAAGTTAACTAGAAATCCAAATCAAACTTCTGGAGATAAAAATATATTTCTGTGATGAAAAACACAATGGGTAGAATTAATAGCAAATTAGACATTAAGGAAGAGAAGATGAATGATCTCAAAGGTGTAATAGTAAATGATTTCATAATGACACAGAGGGAGAAAGGGGCAATGGTGAGCTAGGGGGAACTTCAAGTAACCCAATGCTTAGTGACCCAAAGGCAAGTTTTTAAAAATGTAAATGTCTTTAAAGGACAGTTTGCTTTTTATGCCAAAATAATTCCACCATAGTGTGGGGATTATAATATGTTAAAGTAAAATGTATGACAGCAGTCATAAAGACAGGGAGAGGATAATGGATGAGTGTCATATCATTGGAAGGTTTTCATAATCTATGTAAGCTGGTATAACATCACTTGAAGGTAGAATGCAGTAAGGCAGAGCTATATGGCACAAACTGTGGAATCACAATTAAAATAATAAAACACAGAGTTCTAGCTAATAAACCAACAAAAAAGGATAAAAGGGGATTGTTATTAAAATACCCAATTAATCTACAAGAAGATGTTTAACAAAGAATGAAAAGACGAAGAAGAGACAGGACTAATAAAAAACCAATAGCAGCATGGTAGACATGAATGTAACCAGATCAATAACCACATCAAAGATAGTCTAAATGCCCTAATTAAAAAACAGAGATTGTGATATTAAATAAAAAAACTATGTGCTACCTTCCAGAAATGCACTATAAAGACTCAGAATGTAAAGGTAAAAGGATGGAAAAGGTGTACCATGCTAACTACTCACCCAAAGAAAGCTGGAGAGCAGTATTAATATCAGACAAAGTAAACTTCAGGGCAGAGAATATTTTCAGGGATAAAGAAAGTCATAACCAAATGACAAAGGGGCCATCTCTTAAGAAGACATAATAATCATAAGTATTTATGCTTCTTAAAACAGAGCTTCAGGGCACCTGGGTGGCTCAGTTGGTTAAGCGACTGCCTTCGGCTCAGGTCATGATCCTGGAGTCCTGGGATCAAGTCCCACATCAGGCTCCCTGCTTGGCAGGGATTCTGCTTCTCCCTCTGACCTCTCTCCTCTCATGCTCTTGCTCTCCCAAATAAATAAATAAAATCTAAAACAAAACAAAACAAAAAAAACCCTAGAGCTTCAAAATACTGAAGTAAAATGGGTTGTACTGCAAGGAAGACTAGACAAATCCACAATTAAAACCATTGTTTTAATACTTTCCAGTAATGGACTGACCAAGTTAACACACATGCGCAAGTCAGTAAGGCTGCAAAAGGCATGAACAACACTATCGATCAACGTGACCTAATTGACGTTAGTAGAATATTTCACACAACAGCAGCAGGATATGTGTTCCTTCCAGCTGCACGTGATTGTGTACCCAGATGGACTACAGACTCTGGGCTTGAAATTAGAATTAAGACATTGAAAAGCATCTAAATCATACATAGTATATTCTTGACCATGGGATGAAGAATAAATCCAAAGGGAAATTACAAAGTGGTTTTAACAGCATAAAAATGAAAATACATCAAAATTGATAGGATACCACTAAAGTCATAGGGAGGGAGAAAACTGAAGGCTCAGAAATCATCCCCCACTCATTCTGAGGCCAGCACGGCTACCACCAACATCAGACAAGAGTACTGTACGAGAACTACAGAACAATATCCCCCTGAACACAGATTAATAATCCTTTTACATTTTAATATATGGAATGTAACATCTAAAAATGATAACATAGCATGACCAAGAGGAGTTTATCTCAGTAATGTGCAGTCGCTTTAACATTTAAAAAACTATCCATGTAATTTACTATATCAAATACAAAAAAAAGAGGGAAATTATACAATCATCTCTATAGATTCTCAAAAAAACAGTTGAAAAATCCAACACCCATTGCCGAGAAACACTCTTAGCAAATAAGAAATAATTGGAAGTAACTTTCTTCCCCTAATAAAGGGCATGTATAAAAAGACCTAGAGTTAATAGACCATTTTGCAGCCAGACTATGACAAATTAAAGATGCATGTCATAATCTCTAGATCAAACACTAAAAGTAGCACAAAGAGAGGAAAATAGTGTTTTCAACAAGTGGTGCTGGAAGAAATGTATATCCACATGGAAAAAGAATGAATTTCAATCCTTGCATCTCACTCCGTCAATCAGGAGTGGGCAAACTAAGGCCCACAGCTCAAACATGACCTCTGCCTGCTTTTATATGGTTAATCATGGTCTTTACATTTTTAATGGTTGAAATAAAATAAAAAGAATGACATTTTGTGACCTATGATAATTATATGAAACTCAGATTTCCATATCTGAATGGAAAGTTTGGTAGGCGCACAGCCAGGCTCTTTCCTGTCCATACTGCCTCTGGCTGCGTTTCCATTACAATGGCAGACTGAGTGGTGGACTCAGAGACTGGCTTGTGCTCAATACGGAAAGTTTGCAGACCCTCGTCATAAAAAAATTATGACTTGGATCAACATTCTCGATGATCTGTACAGCTTCTGAAAGAAAACAGCAAATTCTCCTCCTCACCCTTGAAGTCGGCAAAGATTTCTTGAGGACGAGAAATGTTCTCATCTTGAAAAAGTGTATTTTTCTTTATCAAAAATTAAAAATTCTGTTCATCAAAAGATATTAAGATGGATAGATGGCTATCTGAAAGAGGGCAGGTATCCACCATGTAAAGAATTCCTACAAATCAACAATAAAAAAGAAAATTCAATTAAAAAAAGAGCAAAAGATGTGAACAAGTTATTACTATGTATGTATTATATATACATATATATGAATAGGGTTTTAATATATATCATATATACATACACATATGGCACATGTAGTTCCCTCTTCGTGAGACTGATGGGTTTATTTCCTAGCCGCTTACATTTTGGGGGCGCTAAAACTCCACAGTCGGCCTTTTCCAGGAATTACCTTTGCTTAAAGAGAACACTTTGCCCAGAGTCCTATCACTTCCCCAGTGCAGCTGGCATCTGATGACTGGCTGGTATCCCCTTTCCTAGAACACTAACTGTTGAGATATAGAATATATATTCTTTTCTTGGAAAAATGTTTGCTCCACGCTTCCTTCATGAACATGTGCAAAGGGTGAGCTAGACATAGGTGGGCGTCCAATCACCCAGAGCAGGGCCCTGCAGGATCCTGGCGCCCAAACCTGTACCTGGCCTGCTTGGGCCACTTGAAGTGGCTGTGGCTCCACTGAGCGGACCACTGAGGGCTGCGTCTGGGAGAGGGAGGGTTAAGGAGAAAGAGGCTTGTCTTGGTCCAGCTGATTGCTGATTGCTGAGATTGCTGATCAATCATAGTCAGTGCTGACACCTGAGGGGCCGATCACAGTCTTCTCACATTAACTGATGCTCAGGTGTGTTAGCCACAACTGGGAGCTATGAATTCCACCTTTCTTGGTGTGAAGGCCTCTCTTGGAGCCTACATTGGTGCAGGGTCTGATGAGGCTTCCGTGGGGCAGCCTGAATAACCCCAGTCAGGTGCAGAGAAAGGAGCACAGAGGAAAACAGAGAAGCTGTGGGGGATGGCTACCCAGCACAGCGCAGCCCGCCCCAGCCACCCGGGAGGCAGCTGGACAGAATGGAAGGGGGCCTGCTGCCCCTGAGCCTGCCTGGAGGGTGCGGGGGTGCAGGGTGGCTGCAGGAGCCAACCAGGACAGTGACATCAGAACGGTGACGTCACAGGCAAGCCCTCCGAACAGAGCTAAGGGAAGAAGACCAGAGCCCTGAGTCAGAAGATGCGCCATCCTGTCCTGTCTGGGTCTGCAGGGGCACCCAGCTGCTCTGCTGGGTGTCCCTCTGTCTCCTGGGGGCAGGTGAGTCCTAGCTCAGGTGGGACATCACTTGAACTGCTGCTGGAATCTCAAATTCCTTCCTAGACCAGGTCATCAGCAACTATCTCCTCCCTCTACAGGTCTGGCGGGTGCCGAAGTCATCCAGACACCCAGACACCTAATCCAAGGCAGTGGGGGGAAGGCCGTGCTGAAATGCGAACCTGTCTCTGGGCACAGCAGTGTGCGATGGTACCAGCAGACCCTGGGGCAGGGCCCCAAGTTCCTCATTGAGTATTATGAACAGGAGCTGAGAGACAAAGGAGACATGCCGGAACGGTTCTCAGCTCAACAGCTCAGTAACTGCAGCTCCCAACTAGACCTGAGCTTGCTGGAGCCAGGAGACTCAGCCCTGTATCTCTGTGCCAGCAGCTAGACACAGCCCTGCAGCGTGACTGGCTTTCTGTACTCAAACTTTCCTGTCCCAGCTGAAGGTGTAAGAGGGAGAGGGAAGGGGGCCTCAGCCAAGTTCCAAGGATGCTTCTAGGCTTTTTTCTAACACTCTGCCTTGCCGAGCTCAGCCAGAGCACTCCTGAACATTGGGGGCCCAGATTCACTGAATATTCTCGAAATTCCTGGCAAATGGCAGGAGCTCCTGCACTGTGTTAGGGTATAGGTGTGCAGGATGTGTTTTAATGCAAGATAGACATGAGTATGTCCATTTCACAGATGAGGAAGCTCTCAGTATGCCATATTATAGATACAAAACGGTATCTCATGGACTTCCAAAAATTTTCCTATTTAAAGTCTCAGAGGCGGGAGTCAAATCTAGGTCGCTAGGTCTCTGAAATCAACATTTCCCTAAAATTTTACGATGTTTCACCAATTAGATATAGCAGACCACTGTGTCTTCTATCTCAGGACCAGCAGAGCTGTGGTGGGCAGGTCGCACATCATGGGGTGGGGTTATCATAGCTATTGCCTGCCCACTTCTAGAATCAGCTTCAAGCCAGAGAATATGTGTCTGTCCCATCAGGTTCCATTAGGGTGGGGCCAGGGTATCCTCCAGTACAGGAGCTAAGGGACCAGGGGGTTTCCAATCTCTCAGAGGATTCAGCCAAGGAAACAGGAGCCCTCTGGGAATCTCAAGGAAATGGGAGTTAATACAGAACTAGTGATTCTAAACCATTGGACATTCTGGAGGAGGGAGGGTCTGAGGAGGCTGCAGCTCTCTCTTACTTCTAGCACTTTCCATCAGAAAAGCTGAAATTGCTGGGGTGCTTGGGTGGCTCAGTGGGTTAAGCCTCTGCCTTCGGCTCAGGTCATGATCTCAGGGTCCTGGGATCGAACCCCGCATCAGGCTCTCTGCTCGGCAGGGAGTCTGCTTCCCCTTCTCTCTCTGCCTGCCTCTCTGTCTACTTGTGATCTCTCTCTGTCAAATAAATAAATAAAAAATATTAAAAAAAGAAAAGAAAAGAAAAGTTGAAATTGCTACTTCTGGCTAGGCCAGTAACTGCAGAGAACAGCAGAGAGCCCACAGCTAGTAAATGTGTGGCATAACCATTTTCAGGTGGCAGGTATAAGCTTATTAACGAACACACAGGGTTTTAATTCTATTCCTTTTCTGTGAACTTATAGAAAATTCCCTTATTTATTGATCATTTTCCTGGTGCTATATACTTAAGCACACTATTTCGATTAATTTTCTCGAGCCCTACGTGGGCTAGAACAGTTTATCCACACTGCAGGTGAAAGGGCCAGTTGTTACAGTGTAAGTGAGTGGCTGGGGAGGCACAGCTCACAGATATCAGACTGGAGCTCAACCCTAGGCCACACCAACCTAACTGCTACCCCGCTTCTGCATTTGGGGAGAGGGAGATATCTTCACAATTGGAACACTGACCAAAAGTGCCTTCCAGAAATGCTGGCCCCAACACAGTCATTTCACACGGAGGCAACCCGCTGAAGGGGACTTCCAAGATTTCCATCTGTTCGTACTCTGACCTGCCTTGGACTGGTGACCCGGAAAAATATTTGGCTGGGTTTTTCCACTTGTAAACTAAGGCCGATAATATGAGTCTTGAAGAGATTTTATGCAAGAAAAATAAAACAAATTGCCTAACACAAGAAATCTTAGTTCCCTTGTAACTCCAATAAATCTCTGGTCTAGCACAATTATTTACTGGGGGCAACTCTGGGATCAAAGACAGGCACGGATTACTTTGGCCTGACTCACCTGTGTGCCAGACACGAAGTCATCTGAAATGTAAATACAGTCATCTGATAATGTATTATGTGAAATTAAGTGCAAGCAGTTGCCTCTTATGGGAATGAGAAAATGAGGCCTGTGACAGCACTCTGTTTGATATTAAGTCTGATATGCAAGAAGGTGTGGTGCTTCCAGAACATTGTGGTTTTGGTGTGGTTGGTGATCACACAAAAGATCTGATAAAGGAAAAGTACAGTTTTATTCAAAAGAGTCCTTCATGGTGGAGCTCTAGGACCTTCTGTCCCGCCTCTGATTGCACCCTCCAATGCTGTGGACGCTATGTTCACGCAAGTCTGCCTCCAGCGTGCCCCATATGCATGCCCTGATGCCCAGGCTTTCTGCCCCAGGGCTGCCTGTGACATCATAGATCTAGCTACAGGCGTGCTAATGCTCCTGGCAGGACAGGAGCCAAGACATGAAACCTCCAGTGTCTGCATTCAGGGGGACAATTCGAGGAGGCATTTCATGGCTTCTCAGAAGGTCTCAGTAGAATCCGTCTCCTGACGCCTTGACATATCTTCAGTATTGCTTCTTCATCCTGGTTCTCTTCTTCCCGGTTTCATCCTCCCTGTTCTCTGATAGCAATGGAAGAAGGCCATTGGAAGACCCTTCCCATTAGAAGAGACCACCTTTTTTTTTTTCATTTATAACTCCATCCAACTTCCCAAAGTCTTATAATAACATACGAATAAATCTTTTCCCAGTTCATTTTGGTTTATTTTGAATTCCCAGCAGGCTCATATGGGTCCCTGCTCCCTTAATGTTCCAAACCTATTTGTAACGGAACAGATTAGGGTTATGTTTACAGAAGTAGAGTCTGCCTGGATTTTCCTCATTAATGCAACAATCACTTACTGAACACATGTGCAGAGCAGATCCAGGTTTTATGGAGCCTAAACCTTATAAATTTTACAGTGCTCTTTGAAAAAGACAGAAAATTTTTTTCTTTAAGTCTTGGAAAGGTCCTACGTGAATGAGAAGGGCTTGAAGTTATTCTTCACTGACTTTATGGCCAACACACCCTTCACTGTTGACTATGTGTAAGAAGTGTTCCAGGTGTTTGGGAAACACCAGTGCAAAAAAAGCAAAACGAAACAAAACAAAAAATAAAGCTTCAAGATGAGGTCTATATTTCTAGCAAATTTTGTGACAAATTTGTGACTCGATAATTAATTTAAAAATAAATTTATAGAGAAATATTCCTGGTAAATGCTTATCTCTCGAAAAAAATTAAGCATCCTTGAGGATACTGGTCCTCTGGGACTTCATTATGAGAACAATCCTCAGACCTTTGAGATCCCATATACCCTACCCCAAAGAATATGAGTCCTTGCTGGAAAGCTCCCCCCTTATTTTGCATCAAACCAGCCATGGGAAGTAGACTTCTTTGCTATGTGATCCTTAGTCTCTTGGAACTAAGTAAGTCTTGGGCATAAGGGGAGAGTCCTTCCTGGGTTTGCCTAGGCCCTTGGGTTCACACAAGCCTTTCTGTGCAGCACTCCTTGTGTCCAATTTCTGATTCCGTGTCCTTTCTCGCTGTTGTGTTATTGTAGGAATTACCCATGAAGAGTATGTCAAGAATGCAGCCACAGAAATAGAGAAGCCTCACGCTGAGATATGACCTATATAGGAAATAACAGTGTGTACTGATATTGATGAGCCGTAAGCTTGACACCAGAGCAAATGTATGGTTCCATCAATATTCACCCATCTGGTGGGTGCAAGACCTTCCGAATGGAGACAAAACAATTCCCTGTGGCCCTGGGGTCCTCAGACATGTGAACCTGTGGATGAATATCTCATCTATGTTGCTAATGAGCTTCCTCTTTTCTCATGGAAAGCGGAGTCATGGAACGAATGTGGCCTGGTGTCTGTAGCCTCGTCTGAAGCAAAGGGAACGATTTGACTCATGGGAGCATGAAGACCTGAGTGCAGATGGCAGGGCTCCCGTCACTCAGGGCATTGTGAGGCAACATAAAATAATCCTTCAAATTCCAATGACCTTGACCTTGAGACTTTGAAAACTTTCTGGACATGGTTATTTTAAACAAGAAAATCACTATGGGCTGAACATCCAATTATCCAGAGTTAAGGCAAAGAGAAAAACTAAAAAGTATTTGGAGGCAAATTGTGAACAGTAAAGTCACCAAAGAACCAGGACCATCATAATAATATTTCTTAGTCTACAGAAATATTATGAAAAAATTGTAACTATGCAAATAAAGAATTTTATATAATTCATAGAGGAACAAGTTTTCTTGATATAAGGTAGAGGAGAAGTATGTATACCTATAAGTGTTCTTCAGAAAGCAAACTAACAAGTTTTCCCCCTTCTGAGACGCTCAACTTTGTGTATATTAATGATTTGCTCCTGTGGAGAAGGGGTGTGGCAGGTTAGCTCTGCAGCTCAAGCATTTGTCAAGGATAGTGATGTCACTGAGTGACTGGGTGCCCAAGTTCTATTTCCCCAAAACAAAACTAGAAGACATAAGATTCTGCCCTTCTCCGGAAATGGTCACCAGGCTCTTCTGTTTGGCTCTTTGTCTCCTGTGGGTAGGTAAGTGTAGGCTGGCTTCCTTCCCTGGAATTCCCAAGACCACAACACAAACCTTCCTCCTAAGATGACAACATTAGTCTCTGTCACTCTCTATTACAGGACACATGGAAGCTGAGATCACCCAGAGTCCAAGAAATGAGATCGCGAGGACAGGAAAGAAGGTGACTCTGATATGTCACCAGACAGAGAACTATGACTATATGTACTGGTATCGACAAGACCTGGGACATGGACTGAGGCTGATCTATTATTCAATCAATATTGGCAGCTATCAAAAAGGAGAAGTCTCCGATGGGTACAATATCTCCAGACCAAAAACAGAGGAGTTCCACTTCATACTGCCTTCTGTTACCTCCTCCCAGACATCTGTGTACTTCTGTGCCAACAGTTACCCCACAGCGCTGCACAGCTGCCTCCTCTTTGCACATAAATGTAGTTGGACTGAGTCACCCTGAACTCCAAGGCCTGGCCCAAGCCCCAAGAAGGCCCTGCCTCCAGAGGAGTCACTGCTCTTGCCAGCATGGGAGCCTTAGGACAGTTGGCAATACGACCCTTGGGGTTGAAGTCCGTCTCTATGCCAGTCCCAACCCTGACTGGACATCATCCCAAC